GAAAGAGTCAGTTTCTGGTCTCCATTACTGGAGCACAGTTTTTAAAAACCAAGCATTAGCTGACTGACAAAGTATTCAGTGAATTATAGTTGGAAGTATAGGGTGCAGCCTGGGTACTATATGTGGGATAGATTCGTGTCTGCGAAGTCTATTTTAACACGTTCCATATTTAACAGCACGGCAGCATGTGAAGCCTCATATATGAAACACATGCAGGACAAATACATGTGCATGAATATATATATGTATATATATATATGTGTGTGTGTATACTCTGTCAAACCCCATTAGAGTTCAGAGTACAGTATATGTCTTGGTCCATACATATATTTTGGTTACTCTAAAAACGATAGTTATTTATAAATGTTGACAAAGTTTGACCCTGGTGTTTTATTAATATTATTGTCTCTCCGTGTCATTGGGTGCTCCTCAATTAAAAGCATGGGGTAAAAAAAAAACATAGTTTGTTTTCATCAGTTTCTCATTTCATCCTGTTTGCTGGACCGAGAAGCGAACATAATAATAAAACTGCAGATGGATGTTTTTAATCATTCACTGACATCTGATCACAGGCAGAGGAGATCACACCCATCAGACACAAACTCGCAGCCAAAGGAGAACAAAAATAAAATTGAAGGATTACTGCAGAAATAATTAGAAACTTACACCAGGATTTAAGACATCAGCTCTGACTGGAGCTCGAAAACGTCCTGCTGGTGACTCTCTGCTGCTGTTTCTTCTCAGTCCCATCATCTGCCTTTGGGATCCACAGCTGCTGATGGTGTTATGGTTCAGAATGAATGATAGCATTTCCATTAAAGTGTACACAAGACAGTGTACACATTCAAGAGGCATATTTATGTTAAATGACAAAACAAGTAACAGAACAAGAAAAGCTGGAAAAATAAAATAAAATGTATTCTATTATTTTGATAAACTTATGAATTTAGACCTAGAGATGGATAAAAAAATATATGTAATCACAAACTAATTCTTCTAAATCTACTGCTGTGGAGTATACTGTCATGATGTGATTATTTTAGCATATGGTAGCATCCAATTTGTACAATTAGCTTCTCTCTTTTGGCTAGCAGCTACTGCTAACTTCAAATTTAAAGGTTTTGCTGCATGTTTCAAATGTACTTGTACAATATATTTTTTTATTCCTCAAAGGTGTATGAAAAGTTCCAAAAGTTTCCAAAAGGAAAAACGAAGTGTAAGGTGTTTGGTTAGCAGACGAAGTAGGTAGCTGGCCATTGCTAACTTAGCTTAACCTAGCATTAGCTAAATTCAGAGGCCAGTCTGTGGTGATGCTGCTGGATAGTTTAGCTTCTCTGTGTTGGCCCTGATATCCAACATGATCATTTGTTTGGTATTGTGTTTAATATTATGTTTCTACAACAATTATATGAACCCAAAGTTGAGAGATGTTTATCATTGGAAAGGGTAGGGCCAGCCCGTAGAGAATAGCTACGTACTGTACACACAGTCAAACACTGTTTAATTGTTTAGCAGCAAAAGAAAATACAGCAAAAAAAAAAAAAAAAAACTTTAAATACTGTGGAAAGTTTAAATGTACTGGTTGCTGTGTGTGCTCAGAGTAACTACTCACGCTGATGCTCACAAGTGGCTTAAAGACAACTGTGCAGTTGACAAGACATGTTGGTTTTGGAAAGGCCTCTGCTTATTGTACACATTAGGTCATTTTGCTTGGAGCCTTTTTAAAAAGAAAAAAAACAAAAACATCTGCCTCTGAACAATCTGCTGCTGCAGCTTCAAATGTAGACAGGAATTTTGTCTTAAAGACTTCAGTGGAGTTGCAGCTCAGTGAATATTTTCTCCTCAAGTCACAGACAGAGCCCTGACTTGCAGCCACCCCAGAGCAGAGCCTGTGTGTATTCACACTGCTGGCCAGTTACATTCCACAGGTCACATGATTCAGTTTTCACATGAAAATCCAAACCACACTGTTTTATCCTTTGGCTCTTACCAACATAAAAAGAACATATTTCATCCGATTTCATTTCTAGAATCGAACAATGCAATTCAAATATGTGTCTAAGAACTATTAAAATAAGGACTGGAAATATAAATACCGTTAATGTCACTTTTGGAAGTCAGACATGGAGCAGAAAGAGAACCCTGTAGGAAATCATTGCACTTTGATATGAAGGAAATTTTCACCTGAAACAGTGGATTTCAAAGTGGGGGCCACGCCCCTGTGGAGCATAGGCCGAAGTTCTATTTTTAATAAAAAAAAAATACCAGTAGTTTCATAGAAATGCATGAAAAATCCCAAAAGGTATTTATAGTATTATAGTATCCTCTGCTCACAAAGTCATGAGCTTTAATTTAATTATAAACTTTTTAATCTTCTGTTACCAGCGAATGATGAGATCATTAGCCAAAAACAGCGTACGATAAAATAAACATATGAAACTGGACTGCAGTTAAACCCCCAAATAAGAACAGTACATGCTTTGAACATATGAGTTCGCAGCCGCACATACAGTATGTACATGTGTGTGTTTTGGGGCCTTTTCTCAACATATGTTCGTCTCATTACTTTTTAGGCTGTGGCTCGCTCTCATTCTGGAAGAATGCAGGCCAGCAAACACATGTCCACCTCATAACCTCCAATGACATATTAACACACACACACACACACACACACAGAGCAAGGAGAAAGTATGAAGACAGAAAGAGAGAAAGAATAATCACAGTGGCTCAAGGCACCACTTGATGAAAGATCCCCTGGTCCTCAGCGACCTCCGCCCTGCTGCTTCAGCTGGACCTGTTTGACTCAGTGATGCTGCCGGAGAGGAAAACCGATTCTTGGACATTTGACTGACACAAAAAAGACGCTATGGGGTCAACGGGGAGATGCCGCTGATGGAAAACACATGACTGAGTCTGTGTGGATTCATCTAAACAATGACAAAGTGGGTGGGAAACAAAGGCAGAGACGCAATTACAGCTGTGCTTTTCCCCAGAAGACGTTCAGTGTTCTAAATATCTCAGACTCCAGGTCCAAGACGAAACACAAAACACAAACAAATATTCCAACAAACCTCTTCTGTGAGTGTGTGTGTTTTTAGTATAAACAATGTCATATTTTAGCTCTGCTTAAAAAAAATTAAAACAATTTGTAACAGAGTGATCTGTTGATAAGAAACTCTGTAGTCATCCAGGGGGAATTTAGCTCAAATCATCCTGCCGAGCTGAGGGGGAAAAGAACCATGGTGACTTTTGGAGGGAAAATTGCCAGAAAACCGGCCCAATAGGCAGGCTTGTTGACCAATGGGGAAAGAGAGAAAGAGAGAGAGAGGAGATAGAGAGAGAGGAGGGAAGGAGGCAAGGAGGGGGAGAACAAGAGTGAGGAGAGAGAGAGGGACAGAGCAACCAAGACACAAAAGTTGTGACTTTACAAAGAGGGCAGGTACCAGAGGCAGGTAAGGAACTATTTGTTGGTCTATGAAGGTGTGGTTGTTGATGAAGTGTTGTCGTCGCTAACAGAAAAAGCAGCAGAACATCTGAGGAGAGATGTGACTATTTTGTGTTTGTTAACTGGAGAGACTCCTGGCAGCGGCACGACTGGAGCGTGCTGCTGGGTTTCTATAGAAACACTGTGCCATACAGAGCGGTACCCGGAGTTTACAGGAGCTGCTGCCGCCTGATGGACTCTGAACTATCGCTCTGCTCAGCAACACTTGTCTTGATTTGCAACTTTTCCCATACTGAGTCACAAAAGCCACTGCTCTAAATTACAAATGTAGAGATAAAAGACGTCGCCGTGTTTATAAAAGCTGATCACAGAAGGATCTAAATTCTCGTTTTTTTTTCTTTTTTTTAATCAGCTGCATCCTTTTGAAGGCCCTGGAGTAATTCTCTGGGAAGTATTTAAACACCATCGTCACATTTCTGGCCCAGTTTGGTGGCCTTGACATTTTTAAACAGAAATTCCTCAGTTGTTTGTGTTGATAAGAGGGCAGAGATGCCGTCATCAAAGGACGAGCCTTTTGGTTTCAGTCTTATTTTCTTGTGCTATTGATTTAGCCAGCAGTGTAAACAGCATTTATTATGTATTTTTCTTCTGTTCTTTTACTGCACATCCAGATGTGGACACTGTCTTTTTTTTTTTTTTGCACAGCTTCAGTACTTTGCAAATGCCACACCCACATGAGGACATGTTTTGGCTGCAGAGCTAAATATCTGGTGATGATGGGGAGTGATTTATCAGGACACATATATCCTTAAAAGTCTGAGCCTATTAAGTTTGGAAATGTCACTGGTATAGGGGAAGATTTATTAAGTTTTACTGAGATATAATGACTTATATGACTTTGGTTTGATATGATACTGTCAGAAGATGAAAATGTTTGTCGTCGTCACCACAGATTTTCACTGCCAACACATTCTCTCTTCAATTCTTTTGAAGACAAAATGTTTGATTAAAGCATGAAGAACAGTTGTTCTGTTCTTTGCATACGCACATACACATGTTTTGTTACAATTTAAAATCTGAAGTACTGCCAGGAATATTTGCTCCTGGTACAGTTAAATGAAAACATGCAGGATTAAAAGTATTTTCCATAATAAATAAAAAACAATATTTACTTTACAAAGTCAACAAAATTTGAAAAACCAAAGCTTTGATTCTAATCTGTGACCCAGATTCTAAATGTGCTGCGTAAAAACAAAAGCTGGTCCACTGAGCTTTTAGATCCTGCCTTTGTTTACACAATATTGTGATGTTACAGTCCAGTGGTAACTGTGCTGTAATCTGAGCTTCTTCAGCCACAAAACTGTGTCTGATTATGAAGCACGGAACCAAAGCACTGGTCAGTGTCACAGATGTTGTCACACGGAAGATATTCACAACAACAGGACGGAAGAGTCGGAATTTCTGAGTCCGAGGGACACGAATATTAGACCAGCAGGTCTTTAGTTTCCCAGACTACTGGTTCTGAAAGCCCTTTAATAAAGAGGTGGTTCTGGTTATGAACGAGGGGCTGGGAGGTTCTACATGGCTGAAAGGGAAAAGGAAGGGCAGTGCCAGGAAAACTGTCAGAGAAAAGTTCAAGATATGTTTTTCCAGGCAGCACGTTTTCTGGGCTGCAGGCT